GGGGGGGCAATAATATATCAGAACACCAGATTACAGTTTCGAGTCAAGGACATTTTGTTAGAAGTCCAGCATGGTATCAGCTGAGCTATTGGAAGTGTGTGATCTAGTGACGACGATGAAGTGCCTTTAGTATTGGGTCATCATACCCAACCCAGCGCGTCCCCGGGTGGTGGATAGGGGAAAGGCCTCCAGATATGGAGGTTAGCTGCTAAGCAGTCGCGAACCAAATGGGAGATGGTCGTGGAGAGTAGAGGGGAACCCTGGTGGCACAGGTGCTTCAATAAATACCTCACACACTCGAAGAAGGGACAATCTTGGCGACGGGAGGCGCCATACATCCTACCAAAGTCCCAACTGCCTTGTGGGTTGTCAGTGGATGACAAAGGCTAGCAGAGAAACCGTACACAAACCCGCAGTAGGCAACGGGAAACCACTGCTGTAATATCCCAAGAATAGTCATGGAAAAGTAATCAAATAGACTTTATTCTTATTCCGAAAGTTTTAGAAATACAATTAAATCGTCTAAACCACTGCCAGGAGCATACTGTGAGAGTGACCATGTACCGGTCATGTATAAAATGCAGATAAGACTGAAGAAACTCAAAAAGTTAAAGTATCAACCTAAATTGGACTTGGGTGTTTTAAAAACAAATCAAGAACTGAAAGGACGTTTATCCATAGATGTTAGAAATAAATTCAAGCTTTGGAAAAAATTACTAAATTGGAAGAACTATGGAGAAAAATGAAAGACTCAATAATAAAAGCTGTGTTAGAAAATATCCCCCCGAAAGGTAAAAAAAAGCTAATAAAAAATGGATGACCCAGGACATTTTAAAACTAATGGAAGAGAGAAGAAAGGCAAAATCAAAGGTGGAAAAGTACAACATTTTAAACAGGGAAATAAAGAAAAAAGCAACAAAGCAAAAGAAACATGGATAAATGATCAGTGTCAACAAATAGAGAAGAACCATAACAAAGACAGCAAATACATGCATTCCAAAATCAAAGATATAAGTGGGATAAAAGAATACTCAAATACAAGATGCATAAGATCAAAAGAAGGAGATATTTTAATGGACAACTGGGATGTCTTAAACAGATGGTCAGAATACATAGAATAACTTTTCAAAGATAATAGAGGAGAAAAACCGGTAATAAAGAATGTATAAAATGGACCACCAATACTGAAAGCAGAAGTACTAGCTGCCATTAGGAAAATGAAGCAAAGAAAAGCCAGATAATATTCTAGTTGAAAATAATTGTCGTGCTTGAAGAACTAGGATAAGATAAGATAAGATAAGATACATCTTTATTGTCCAGATCCTGGCACATTGGTTTGGTGTTCCACCACGAGTACACGCACACACACGCACACACACGCACACACAC